TCGCACTCGGCTGCGAACCTTTCCATAAAGCACTGTAGTTCAGTTTCAGAAGACGCTAATAAAACAAGGTCGTCTGCAAACAGCAACCTTCTCGTCTTCGCATCTCCTACAGCGATACACTCCTCGCCTTGACTGCTCCTGACTATTCTATCCATATACAACATAAACAAGAGAAGGGACAGGACGCAGCCTTGGCGGAGACCAGTGCCAACGTTGAGCTGTTTCGACTTAACGCCATTTACTCTGACCGCAGCACTTGCTACCAGTATATGGTGATTGGATGACCCGTATTAACTGGTCATTAATCCCATATGTTCGCGAGTATGCCCATAGACTGTAGCGCGTTTTCCGGTCATAGGCTTTCTTCAGGTCGACAAGTCACACCGGATGTTTGAACTCCCATGATTATTCAACAATCTGGCGTAAGGCGAATATCTGGAAAGGTGTGCCTCGGTCGACCTGAAGCAACACTGATCTTTTGCATTTTAGAATCAGCTATTCCGCGGCATCTCTGTTCTAGCACCTTTGCATAGACTACTTGGGAGGTTCAAACGGATAATGTCCCGATAAGTCTTCCTTTGTGAACAGGTGTACTACAACCCGTTTGTAAATCCGCTGGTGTCTTCTCCGTAGCCACTGCAGTTTGACAGATAGGAGTAAACCATATATGCCTTGTTCGCCTATTGTTTTAAGCATTTCTCGGCGGATTTCATCGATTCGAACAGCCTTTTCATTTTTCAGGCTTTTCACAGCTTGTGTAATTTTATCTGCAGAAATAGTAATATTCCTTCCCTGATGCTCTACAGGGAGTCTTCCTGTGATTGCTCATGTTAAGGAGTTCCTCAAAGAATCTAAACATCGCCGAAGAATGATCTTATCCTCGGTAAGAGGGCGTCCAGATCTGTCCTTTAAGACTCTTAGATTTCGCTTCCTTTCACCTCGGAGCCTGGAAATGGTCCGTCATACCATGTTTGCCGTCTGTAAATTCGACTCCAAAACCTCACCGAACTTCTTCCAGGAATCAGCCTGGCCATTCGCCACTGCTTTTGCTGCCGCTTTGCACTCTTCTACATACCGCGCGCAGGCTTACGGTATGGCTCTTTTCTTCCAAGCCTTTTCTTGAATACAGGCTTCGTCCCAGTTGTACCTCTCGTTTCTACCAGGAAATTCGTTTCTGACCTCCAGACGGCAATCCAACTCGTTTGAAACCGAAGTATTAGACCTCAGCCCCAAGTAAGTCGCTCTTAAAGAGCTGTCACTCGGTTTCCACCTCAGCGGTAATCACAATGGTGTTCAAATCGCCGTGCGATGTTGCATGCAAGTTTTGCCCTCGTTTCCGCCAAAGGTAATGTTTCCCATTTGATTCTCTGGCTGCTTCTGCCATCGTCACGTGGTACCCTATTTTTCACAGCGTAGCACGCGAACGACAAAGTGATAATCGGTTACAGCTCTGCACCTCTCAATGCGAATATCGGTGACAAGAAGACACCGTTCACGTGGTGTTCCTGTTGCGTATTGCGAAAGTACGCCAAAGTTTAAGAACACAACGAATGTCGTCACCTGGCAGTCGAACTTTGCGAAAGCGATCTCTCGGCTCGACTAGCAACAAGCCGAACGGTTCTTCCCCGAACCATACTTGTAAACCAGTGCGTAATAAACCCAGTGGCCTTTTTAAGGGCCTCGGAAGAAAAACAAATAAGCCAAACGATCCTCATTAGGATCATAGAAGTAGAGCAAAAAATCCTACAGTCTTTATGAGGGCCAAAGAAATGAAGCTGTGGGTCACACGCTCAGCATATTTCAGCTGAACGTCGAGGGCATTTCCTACGCAAAATGCGAATATTTCTTAAGTACAAATACCTATTAAAAGAAAGTGAGGTTGATATCGCCATTCTGCAAGAGAAGCGCGTCGAAGATGACTGCAAAGCAGCCGGATACACAATTGGGTTTGATATGGTCCCTAATACCTGTGACTCCAAACATGGTCTAGCAGCCTATGCCAGATTAGATCTGAAAGATGTCGAGGTTATAAATAGCAGCGAAAATCGCATCGGCGTACACAGACGAACTGAATGGTATCGAATTCACTACAGTGACCGTCGGAGAAATCGCTGTAATAAACATATACAAGCGTCCCGGAACCAATTGGCCAACATCGACATCGCCATTACCAACGATGCCTCACTTAACTGTTTATGCGGGCGCCTTTAACAGCCACCATACTGCATGGGGTTACGCGGTGAACAATGCGGCAGTTGAACAACTAACAGATTGCGCATCAACAGCTGGTGTACAATTGTGCCACGACGCTAAACAGCAGGGCACTTTCAGATCAGCAAGATGGAAGACTGACCGTAGCTCCAAAGATAGTCGCGGCATTCTTCTTCCTGCTTCCAAGACAGTGCTTGGATTTTTTCCAAAAACCTCGCTGGAACTTTCGAAAAGCAAACTGGTCATTGTACACTGCCGAAGTCGAAGACCGTATTCAACAGATCTTGCCTTCGCCCCAAGCATTTGACAATTTTGGTCGAATGTTGATCTCTGCTGCGATAAACAACATCCCTCATGGATACTGGAAGACCTACCTCCCTTGTTGGTCGAAAGAGACAGCTGAAATTTACATGGAGTACAAACGCTGAGGACCTCTTGAAACTGCAACTGCTCTCGTCGAATTCTTGAATTCAGAGCGGCAGAGACGATGGTGGAAAATTGTGGAAACAGTGGATTTCGCACATTCCAGTCGCAAGGCATGGACACTGCTCCGCCACCTTGGCGCAGCTGAACCCACAAAGCGCCGAGTAGCGAAAGTCTCCGCTGATGCCATTGCTGCTCACCTCCTCCCTACGTCTAAAACACTGACAGATAAAGCCGTTCGGAAGATAGTGTAGAAAGAACGTTTTCTTGACCTTAACAGTTGCCTGGAAACAAGCCCACTCTCCACCCCATACACTCTAGAGGAAATGAACATAGCACTTTGGTCATAAAGAACAAGTAGGCTGCTGGTGTGGATAAAATTTTCACGTAATTTCTTAAGAACTTGGGTCCAAAGGGCCGACAGTGGCTGGCCTCTCTTTTCACGGCAATCCATAGAACCAGAAAAATTCCGTCCGGCAAGCGGTGTGCCAAAGTCGTCACCCTCTGAAAGCCAGGAAAATCTCCAGAGAAGCCAGACAGTTACAAGCCTATCTTTTTACTGTGCACGGTCAGGAAACTGATGGAGAGAACTTTATTGACGTGGCTTTCTCCTGCAATTGAAACTCTTCTCTCAGTGGAACAGGCTGGCTTTCGATCTGGACGCAGTTGTTGCAAGCAACTGCTTTCGCTCACCAGCGTCAACGAGGCAGGATTCCAAAGGAAACAAAAAAACAGGGGTGATTTTAATCAGTCTATCGTCAGCTTACGATATGGTCTGGCGTGACAGTCTCATATCCAAAGTTTCTGGAATAATCAGATGCCAGAAGACCCTTCGTCTATCGCAGTTATGATTAGCGACCGTCGGTACCAGGTCCATATTGATGGGAGGGTGAGTAAGGAATGATTCCCTAACAACGGG